CTCATCCCCTCACGGCCACAACACTTTCACTAGCAACCACTTCTCTATCAGCTGCGACACCTTTATCAGCAACTTGTCATCATTGCCTCCCTCTCCCATCATGTTTCGGTATTTCTCACACCCTCATGTAACAATTCACTACAAACAATCAACAACCTTCAGGCTTTCCTCGATGCAAATTCATCACTGCGTCCTCCCTTGTTTTTCTCTGCCAACAGCTTCCCTCGTCCGAGTTAATCAGATTATCTGTCATTGTCTTACTGATTCGTTGTCATTTGCTATTAAATTGTAGTTAATCATATGTTTGTTCTAGTCATTTACTAAAAACAGAAAAAATAGAACTTGTGACTATTGTGTAATTCGCTATTTACTATATTTAATTTGCTATTTACTACTCTTATTTAGTCTATTAGCTTATTACTCCATCTTTGGCGAAAGAGAGATGGCAGCTCATCAGGTTAATGCAAGTATGTTAGAGGCTGAAGAAAGCTTAAAGATTGCAATTAAAGTGAAGTATGTGTTTTATATTATTCCTGTAATTAGTTGGGAAAATAGTGTAACTTGGCTTATCTAAGATGCTTTCTTTGATCCAGTGAGTTTTGGGACCATGGTGTTGGCTTCTAATAATTCAAGTGCCCTAAATGCAAGGAACCCACCATTGTTGTTAATGCTCGATATAACATAGAGAATTTTGTTACTGTCATGGAAAGTCTAATTTTTAGTCAATGATTAAAGCTAGGTTGTTAATAGCCATACCATTATTGTTTTTAGGAATAGTTATATATTCAATCTACTTGTGTAATATCATATTTTGTACGTCATTTACCAATCAAGTATAATAAATAGTAAGTAAAGTGTAGTAAACCACTAATGTAAAACTATTTACTAAGCTTCATTAGCAATTTACTACACTTAGTTAGAAAATGACAGCACATTTCAATCAGTTGCCTAACTATACAATTTGCTGAAATTGTGTTGTCATTTGATGATTCAGTGTAGTAAATAGTGAATAAAATGTTATCATTTGTTATTTTCATTTAGTTTAACAAGTTTGAAATTTGGAAAAAGTAGTTGTCAATTGCTAAACCATTATGGTAAATGGCTAATGAGGTTTAGTGAATTACTCAACAAAAATTATAAATAGCCTAATTTATTTATTTCAATTAACAAGGTTGAAATTTGAAAAACGTGATTGGTAATTGTTAAACCACGATGATAAATAGTTAATGTGACGTAGTAGATATTTTAACAAGGTTATGTATGCTTTTCAAACTCTTTGCTACGATTTTGGGAATAATTATTTAGAAGAAGAATAATCAACTATCTTCATTACATGTTACCAATTGGTTAGAACCGCTGACAATTCTACCAAATAGATTAACAACAGTTTTATATGTATTGATAACAAGTGATCTTCGAAATTCATTACAAGATAAACCAATGATCAAACTTAGACAAATCACATATTGCTTTTTTTGTTAGAGCCGGTGACAACTCTTTCATATAGAGTAATATGTGAGATTCATTACAACACAAACCAATAGGAAACTTAGGCAATCATATGTTTCCTTTTAGTTAAGATCATTGACAACTATTTCTTAAAAATTAATAACACCTTTATATAAATGGACTACACTTAATCTGCAAAATTTATTATAAGCCAAACCAATTGTCAAACTTGGACAAATCACATGTTGTCAAAGTAAGTAAAGATGTGATAAAGGTTAAACAAAGTGAAAATTTTAAGTCCACATGTTGAAGTAAATTGAACAAGTGTAGAATAAGTATAGAGGAAGTGGGGTCCACAAGTTCGTTGAATATAACAAATTGCCATTAATGACAAAAAGATAGCTATTAACAACTCAGTGTAACAATCGACTACATAAATAATTTTTATTAACATGTATGATTGTTTAGGTATGCCGTGTATTTTTTCCATTACCTTGAATTGATATGCTTGCTTGTATGTTATATTCATCCATAATCTCTTTTCAACGTTGTCATTATTTCACTTGAATGTTTGTCAGTGTGATTGCTTACTTAGGATGAGGAAGACGAAATGGAGAAGCAGTAGACAATAAGGGAACTAATGGAGGATGAGGGATGGCACTTGGATCAGGGAGTGTGCAGGTCAATGGTGCAATTGGGTGGAAGCTTTGTTGGAGCCGAGAGAAAAGAGAAAAAGGAATAGAGGTTGAAGAAAAATGAAAAAAAGGTTAATCGGAAACAAGCAGCCCTCTGCCGTCAGCAACCCCTCTAACCTTTACCTTCGAGTCCAACGAGCATGTGCAAAGCCGGTAAGATTGTTGTTGGAGAGGGAGAGAAGGATGGTGGGATCAAAAGGGATTTCAGATTAAAAATAAAGCAGGGATAGTAATATAATCTAACAACATTTTTAAACTCTAATTTAGTAATTGAATATTCATTTGGTATTTGTGAAATTGGATGCATTGATTTGGGATTTTTATATTTTAAAGGCATATATGGGTCTTTCCCTTGTACGAAACCCAGGGGGTTAAAAATTGAATGGTGAATGTTGTTTCCACGAGTACCTAACTTCTGCCTTCTTAGATTCTCCAATTATCCGAAACCTGCAGAAGAACCAAAGATAAAGCGCTTCACAATATAATGCCACGTGGCATCCCTCTACGTCTCACAATTTTTCTCACATATAGCCACAAACCCATCGCAAAACCCATTATCTCTCCTTTTGACAGAAGAAGCACCCTCCATAGTATAGTCTAGAGCTTCTCTATAATGGCAACCTCCACCGCCGGCGCCGTCGTGAGCAGCTCCTTCCTCGGCAGACAGCCCACCACAAGCCTCCGTTCGGCGCCTAAGCTTCAGGCTATGTTCGGCGTCGGAACGAAGAGTGGCCGCCGTGGGATCCGAGGGCGCGTAACGTGCATGGCCGCCTTCAAAGTGAAGCTGCTAACTCCAGAAGGCCCAAAGGAATTCGAATGTCCTGACGATGTTTACATTCTGGACCAAGCTGAGGAAGTTGGGATCGATCTTCCATTCTCGTGCAGAGCAGGCTCGTGTTCGTCGTGTGCAGGGAAGTTAGTGGAAGGAGAACTTGACCAGTCCGATCAAAGCTTCCTCGACGATGAACAGATTGACGGAGGATGGGTTCTTACTTGTGCCGCTTACCCTCGATCTGATGTGGTGATCGAGACCCACAAGGAGGAGGAGCTCACCGATTAATTAATCAAGCATTTTTTTGGTTTCTGGGTTTCATTTCATGTCTGTATGAATCATGAATCGATATATGTATTCACATGTTCTTGTTCTGTGAGCTTGATTAAGAGTCATCTTGTGGTTTGGCTGTCGCTGTGATGAGTCTGGATGAAACTGGATGATCAATGAATAATAATGTCATAGTATATCTGCTACTTCTGCTGCAAATTTAGGTACCTGCTGTTTTTATCCCATAGATTTTATTGTCATAGGATTGAGCAATTAGATCACAATATACCGGGGGATGATTTGAATGATGTCATAATTATGAAATTTAATTCTGAACTGTGGTTGAGTTAATTGTAGACACGAGAGTAAACATCTTAGTATGTCACTAATGGTATGAAAACTTTCTTATGATTAGATTAGAAGGAGTGCAATAAATTGAAGCCTAGTAAGTGGGAGGATGTAATTTCGATTCTGTTTATAATGTCATATCATTTGTGTCGGTCCTTCTAGTTGAAGAAAAATTAGTAGAATAGAAGGCAGGCTTCTCCAAGTGATGCTTGTTGAATTGAATCTGCATTAACTTTTATTAGACTGATGATTAATGAGCCTCGTTCATTGTCAGATGGTATACTTCTATTCTGTTTATAATGTCATATCATTTGTTCAACATTTTTGTATATTTAAAAATGCTAAATTCATATGAAACTTGGCATTCTCGTTCTAAAGATAACAACTGAGATTAGGAACGTTTAATTCCACAAATCAAACACAGTTCCGAGTTATCGGAAGCCACTCAATTCAGCTCATTATCATCATGAAATCTAACTGGCCTTATAAAGGGAAAAGACCTTTTTTTTTTCCTCATAAGTTACTCCATTAAATATTTGGCATGAATATACTATCTTATATTATTATTTTCTTTAAAAAAATATGTATTAAATAGAGATAAAACTAAACATTTGTTAAATTTTAAGACAAAATAATAACATTTAAGATTTTTTTAATTCTGATAAAAACATATTGAAATTAACGTATAAATAGTACGAAAGAAATATTGCTTTTTGGAGGCAAGGGGGGGGGGGAAGAAATATAAAACTGGTCATTCCCGTCATGCAACAAACTCTTCATATTTATAAGATAAAGGGAGACGTCTTTTTTTTTTTTCAATCCTATTATAAATTATATTATTAAATACTAATCATAAATGCACTATTTTACCAGCTGCTTATTATGGTGTATCCAATTATAAATTCTTCTACAATCTTCTAAAACTGGTCATTCCCATCATGTAACATACTTAAGATAAAGGGAGACGACTTTTTTTTCAATCCTATTTACAAATTACATTATGAAATGCTTATCATAAATATACTATTTTAGCAGTTGCTAATTATGGTGTATATTATTGTGTTCTTGGAAATATATGTATACACACATTAAAGAGGGATAAAATTAAAAATTTGTTAAATTTTAAGATAAAGTTGATAAAATTTAAAATTTTTGTTAATTTCAGCAAAACTTATAGATGGTACTCAAGGAAACATTGCCTTCAATGCACGAAAGCTCCCCACAAGGCTCCCACGCTATCTTCAAAATTTATCCTGACGTTAAAGTCAACACGAAATTAAAACTCTCAACAAGATTAGAGCAAGTGATTGAATGTGTGTTTTTCACAGCCTCCTTTTGCCTCTTTTTATGTTTTTTGTATCAGTAACATATTGCTAGATCATGTCAAGACCCAAACAAAGGGGAGTAAATATAACGCTAACGCAATGATGTCTTTTGTCCTTTTCTAACTGGCATGCTGCTTGGCCTGTATAAACCAATATCTAAGTTAAATATTCATGGGAATGGATACACGGGCGTCGGCTAATAATGTCCCCATAGATATCATTATTGCAACAACTGCTTTCGGCTAAAAGCAGCCGTGTAGGTTTCCCACGTCACGAAACCCAAATAACAATGCTTATAACAAAACTGAAGCTCTACTTAGAGACACAGGCTTTTTGTTACAATTTTACTATACATTTTTCCTTCTCTCTTTATATCCCATCCACAAATAGTGCAGTGCTGTGCTTAAACTTGACTTGGTAAAATCAACACTTGATTTTCAAGCAGCATAGTGTGGAAAGATATGGCATGCTTATACGAACAAAACTAGACTCCATTGCCTTTTAATGGCCGGGGGGGGGGGGTTATTCACCGAAACAAGGGCAATATTCCCCACTGGTGCAGAAAACCCTCGCCTGTAGTGACTTCTAAAAACAACAGAAGAAGCACAGCCAGCATCGCTGCTCTTCCATTCCATGTTTCAGCACTTTTTGTCCAACCCCATTCCCATACCATTACTGGTGGCGGCAGCTCCCGGCGTTGAGAGTCATATGCTGCCAATAACTCTTCTACGCTTCCCAGTGGAACCAGAGACTGCCAAAGAAACCAGATTTTCAATTACATCACAAGTTTAAGGCATGCGTGCAACTGACAATTTGAATTTGATATTGCCAAATCAATTTACTTGATTCAAAATCACAAGATGATGACAGAACGGTTTAGAGGAGAGTATAGAGTCTTGGAGAAGTTAAATGAGTACCTGCCGCGCTTCAAGATTAGAAACTGCCATGGCACCAACATATGGGAGGGACTCAATTACAGCATCTGCCAAGTCTGAGATGAAGGTGGATTCACATCCCAGAGCAGGAACACGGCCCCAATTTTTTATGCCAGATTTTAGAGCCAATTCTTTGTATTCAACATCAATTTCTTCTAGTGTTTCAATGTGCTCACTGACAAAGCTGTGAATATAGCACATAAATGACAGGAATATATGAGATAAAGAAAGAAGCCAGAAATCATAAAGATACGTGTAAGGTAATATCACAAAAACAAGAAGGCTAATATTACCTAATTGGTACAGCCAGCAGACTTTTTACTCCCTTCTTTCCAAGATCAATAATCGTCTCATCCGTATAAGGTTTTAACCATTCCACTGGTCCAACTCTACTCTATAACAATGATTACACTTGAATTTCAGTGTCAAAATCATGCTTTGAGGGTAGGATAACATTGCTAGGTCTACTAATAGACAGAGATCAATCTATCAGCACCATTCTAACAATTAGAATTTCCATACCATGTTTCATATATTTAGATACTGCAGCCTGCAGGCCAGGAAGCATGCAACGCTTCATAGTATAAACCAATAATGCCTATTGGTTTATTCAGAATTACAAGAGATCGAATGACCCAACAAAGTACCTGATAAGCAAGGGTATAGGAATTAGTTATGTTCCTTTTCTCCAGTTCTTCCATAATCAAATCCACACATTCCTCCATCTCTGCCTTGTATGGGTCACCAGCCTCTTCCACATATGCAAGCGGCACTCCATGCGCACTAAAGAATATCACCACCTGTTATCAGAATTTCAATTACTAAGGAAAATAGGCATACAGACAATTGAACGATTCCCAAGCACAAGCATAAGAAGAATTATTCTTCAGGAAAAGCTTAAATGACAACATATAAGGAAGTAAGAGAACAGCCACGTTTTGTTAATAGGCACAATTTTTTCTCATGAAAACCAACCAAAAAGGTTAGCATAGTGCATTTCATAATATCTCAGACACTCTGAAGGTCAATTTACTAGTACTACAGTTATTTACCCAGAGATAGATAAGACATCAACTGCAAAAGTTATGCTGTCATTTATTTTTCTTTTTTGGGTGAAAGCTGTCATTATTATTTCGATCAAATATGAGAATGCTAACAGGAAAAAAAAATCAACATGCCACAGAACAAAATCCTTTTATCTGACTCACTAAATCATAAAAGATGCAGTACCTCCTTTGGGTTCTCAAAACCATTTAACTCATTCTCAATCAAATTTGCCATGGCCTTTATGTATCCTTCACGCTGGTACCACGAAGGTATTACTGTGTGCTGCATGTTGACTAGATACTCATCCTCGCTGAAGAATCATTTAATATTTAATAATTTAAAATTATAACAGAATGTCAGTCTATATCTTGGAGTATCATGATGTGATAACCGTAGAATCTTTTAGTGGTTACCGGAATATACTCTCCAGGAGACGTAAGCTTGAACCACTGGTTGATATTGAAAATTGTGGATAAAGTGGAAGAACAACAAGCTTTGTAATCCCATCTTTTTTAATCTACATGGTGCGTTTTGAAGGAAAAAATTACTTATAATCAAGCAGCAACGAAATCCCAAAAAGACAAGAACAAATAAAATTGTATTGGTTACTTCAGAAAAGTACAATACGATGTCATATTATTTTGAACTAATCTGAAACATAATTAAGTATAGAACTCCGATATAAGGGATCATCAAAGAAATATCAATATGCAGAAAAAGCAATAGCTGCATAAACGCCATCAAAGTTAAAACTCAGGAACATATCAAACTTTTGAATGTTCTACCCTTTTGTTATACTATCTAAGTTAAAATTAAAACTTGTTGCTGCAAGATTCGTCTTTCAAAAGAAAAGCCTGTAAAAATTTCAACGTGCAATGACATCACATGCTGAAATTTTTAACAGGCTTTTCTTTTCAAGATGAATCTTGCAGTAATAAGTTTTAACTTCGATGGTATAATAATAAAAGGGTAGATAATTCAAAAGTAGCAAATTTTCAATAAAATGTTGTTTAGCGTTTATTTTGTAATCTAAAATCAAGTTAATCAATACCTGTTCAATAGCTTCTTCAGTGAATGGATGCCAGTAACGCATGCCAACGTACACTTTTGCACGGACATTCTTTGCCCAAAGGGATTTCCTCAGCTCTTCAGCCTGTGGAAGACAGCATTAAAAGAGGCAGGACAAGAATTTAATCAAAGAAAGAAAGATCTTACTGCCTCTAAAATAGTAAAGTCTTTTATGAAGTCAAAATGTTAATAATGTTCCGTATCATTAGCAAGCATTTGAAACATCAGTCTCTCCACAGATTGGTTAAAAATTCAAAAGTTTACTTGAAATGGTGGGAAACAATTAACCAAAATATAGATGGACTAAAATAAACGGAAGTATACAAATTGACAATTTTAAATATTTCATGAGAGACACGATTCAGCCTCAATAATAAAAGCACAGAAGACAGCTTAACTTTTCCGGTAAGTAGCTTGGAGAATCAACATATGCAAAGCTGACTTTTTTAATAAGCTCTACCATTCTTCACCATCACCTATTGTGCTCCTCTATCATTTTATAATTATTAATAATTTCAAAACTGAATAAAGATCACGCATTAGGCATATGAACAATCTTACCGACATAAATAGCTCACTTATTGATAAACTGAATTTTCAAATTGTCCAAACTCCAATGCAGCATTTAACACTAGTAATTACTAATTACTTGTACTAAATAAGATGAAAATCATGTTTTCTGAAGTGTCATGCCTGTGCATCAGTTATGCGTCTAAGAGGAGAGCCACCACCAATTGAAGCATAGCCTTCTTTACTCTTTGGTGCTCTTAAAACAGACACAAATTGGGCTAACGGCTTTTGAAGGAACCCAAACAACCTTGGCAGCCGTATAATATCCTGCAGAATAATGAATAAGGAATAGAAAAATTTTAGATTATTACCCATTTCAAGGGGTTGAATTTTTATTTTTATTTTAAAAAAAAGAGTTCCGCCTAGAGATGTCTTGTGCATGAAAGATAGAATATTACTGGGTCAGCAAAAAGGTTAAACAAAAATGGCTGCACATCTTCAAGAGTCTCTGGACCTCCAAGGTTTAGCAATAATACACCAATCTTATCGTCACCAACAAAAGGCGTATCAGAAACAGATTGAGTTGTTGAAGTTGATAAAGCTCCCGCTGGCAACAAGTGCTTCTTCAGTGACTGCTTGGAAAACAGGGATTGTGCATCAGAACATCCATGAGAACATCTGGTCACTATGTAATTTTTCAAGGGACTAGAGTTAATAGGAGCTTCCACATGGACCCTAGAACAGCGATACATCTTGTGGGAAGTACAGATTGCCTGTGGCAACAACCTATGGAAAAAATGAATATTAAGACCTTGCGATTTGAGAATATTTTATTGATCTTGAGATTTGATAATAAAGTATTTGACATAGGAATTTACCAAATTTAGTCAAAAGAGTACTTTTTGCAATAACATAAAACAAAAACAGTCAAATACCAGGCACAATGAATTGAGAGGGATATAACAACACAAAAACATTAGGAAAAACAAGAAAGCAACAACAATTGGGCTTGAATGAAAAATGGGAGGCAAATCATCAAATCTAATTTTTGAACCAAACTATAGCATTCAAGAAGGCAAACAAAACATCTTCTATAAAAATTGCATTGCATTGTAGCGCGAAAAATCCGCCAAAGGTCAACAACATTAATTCCGACAGAAAACGTGCAGCTTGATGAATAAGCACTTAATCTCAGTAACTGAAACATGAAAAGTCCAGCACTAGCATTTCAAAATTAAGATCAGAACTCAGAAGATCCTGTCCGTTGTTTATGGGCAAATGAAAATCCTCGTTCCTTTAAAAAATACACGACACCAACTGAGGAAATGACAGTGCATAAACAAATGGGAGCCGTCTAACTTGTGAATATAAAATTCATAACTTACAAATATAAAAACCTGAGGCCAAAAAAAAAAACAAAAAGAAATCCAAGGGAGGAATACTTACATAGGAAACTTGCAATTACGAGAAGCATAAGTGAGGACTGGAGGAGGGCGAAACGCATGCGAGGAAGAAGAAGAAGAGGAAGGCGATGAAATGGGATGAGTTGGAGAGTTCATGGCTTGAAATAACTTCGTGAATTAGCACAACCAAGCCTCAAAACTGACCTTTCCTTCGCTTGGTGCTTTGTTTGAAGCCCTAAACAAAGTGGGGCAAAGCCTTTAAGGGAAAATTCCAAACTAAAAAAGAAATAACAAGAAGATTTTAGGAAAACAAGAAGAACTTCACCTAACTCTGATGATCGAGAATTACAAGAAGCTACCACTGACCAGAAGGTGAGCTCTGAATGAAAGATCAAGTAAAATATTTCAGGGTGTACGCCAAAAAGTCTTCCACCTATGTTTGGTCTGTTTTTACAAAAATAGTAGCTTGAGGCAATAGGAGAAAATTTTAGCCAATGTCGAGCTTCTTCAGAAACCCATTGGAAATCTGGGGCCTAGTCGAGTTTGAAAGCGACGGATCAGATTGAAATAAATCTAGACCACCTCTTCTCGTTCGTTTATCTACTCCTCCATTTTTTTACCGCCTCCCATTTTTTAGGAATTTTCTTTTTAGTTCACAATCATTATCCAATATCCACCAAGAGTCCAAGACCCTTGCGGACCGCGAGGCAAAGTTTTTTTTTCCTTATAAAAAATCATACAAAATTAACAAATATCAACATCAATTAATACAAATATTAATATTAATGCATACCAAAAAAAATATTAATATTAACAGTTTTAAATAAAACATATAACAAGCTATTTATTTGCTTTGTTATATAGACAAAGTGATTTAAACAATGCATAGAATAAAATATAAATACACCAATTTTTCTTTTATTTTATTTTAATTATAAAAATCTCCATTTATTTTCAGAGCTTATATAATTTTTTCCCAAGATCAAAAGTTATATTATAAAAAACCCCATATACTTTTAATTTTATTATCATCCATCCAAGAGTTAAATAACTATTAAAACATATTGTTTTTATTAAAATACTTCTCTTTAATATTAATTTATTGTTTAAACATAATTTATTTTATTAAAAATAATTCAATACGTTTAGTTGTTTGTTTTTATTTTATCTTGAAGACGGATGAATTATATCACTATTTAATAACGCACTAAAAGAAATTCATACATTTATCATATTTATAAAGTAGTCAAACTTGTAACCTCATGTTTATCTTGGTTGTAATACCAGTCTACTTGTGTGCTCTCAAAAGAAAGCAAAATTTCTTTTTGGATGACCACATTTTAGAAAAAAGGTTGGGCTCACTATGATCCAAAAACAGAACAACTAACCCTTGATCTGAGCCCTGTCCAACACTGTAGCAACTGGGACAGAGAGAACTCCACGTAGAGGATCACCACATGTTATGAACTGAGACCTTGGCTTTAAATATATCTCTCCCAAAGCCACAACATGTTCCAGGGTCGAACCCGCTCTCTTAGTGAGGGTGTCCAACCCCTTCACCAACTAAACTCATGGATAAGGGGTAACAAATTTTAGAGAAAAATTAAAAGTGTCATTCAACAAAAATTCATATCACCCGTGAAATTTTTTAAATAAAAATAGAAAACTCCATAGCTGTTTTAAAATTTGAGAAACTTTTAGAGGAGAATTATTTCATCTTTAGTTATAAACGAATGATGATGAATGAAGCTAGTCCTACTTGTTGCAGTATTACTTCTGATTTTTAATATAAAAGTTAGTGGACTAATTTGAATAGATTAAAAAAATTAGTTAAGTTAGTTATTTATAATAAATAAGTGTTGTCTTCCTTAAAGTATCATTGCTAATCAAGTATATTGGTTACAACTATATTTTTATAAGAACTATGTTGGGAAAAAAATGAAGAAATATAAGAAGCAAGATAAATTGGAGTCTTATAATTAGATACAAAATAAAAATCAAACAAACTCTTATATTAAAAACTGACATAATATTATTTTGTTATCTCTTTTTTGAATTAGTGATTTTTCAATTTTCATTTAATTAATAAGACAACAAATTTGGGAGACTTTTGACTTGTCAAATTCATTTGACTGTTAGTGTGTTGCTTGAATATTTGATATGGTGACTAAACAAAAGTATATTAAACTACAAACTAATTTTTATTTTTAAGGATCTAAGTTAATCGAGTGCTCTTTTGGTGTTTACTCCAGTCTCAGACTGAAAGCCCCAGAGAGTGCACGGTTGGTTACATCCCATGTCCTGAAGCAACAAAGTCAAAGGCCAAAAAAGAAGCAACAAAGTCATGTACCAAATTTCTTTCCTTTTGTATAGCAGTCTCTCACACACGTGGAGCCCATTACGGAGGGAAAAAAACACATCAACCAATTCTATCTTCAAACGTGCCCTTAAATATTATTTCAAAGAATAAACACTTAGTTAAACAAGAATGTTGAAAGGTCAAGTGTAAGTGAAATTAATCTAACAAAAGGACAAAAAAAAGAAAAAAGAAGTCATGCATCTAATAAATTTGAGCTAAAAAAGAAGTATATAAGTGAAATGACTGATGTATTTAAAGTTTTAAGTTAAATTCTGTTGTTATGCTCATTTACTCAAATTAATTGATGGTTGGATGACTACCGTTAGCCGTGGTTGTGGCAATCATTAAATTTAAATTTTTATACTAATATTTAATTGAAATATTAGTACTTAATAATTTGAACTAATATTATTAGCATCTCAATCTCTTTTTTTTTTTTATTTAAATTTTTGTGATTGATTTACAAATCAACCTCTTAAATTTACAATTCTCTTTTTAAAAGTAAAATATGCACTCATGCTATTCATAGGTATAAAAATAAAAATAAAAAACTTGTACTTAAGATGGAATATAGTTTTCCCGAACTAATGGATGTATTAGTTTTATTATTACCAATATTAATTATAAAACATTATTTAAATCTAAAATAATACATAATACAGAATATTCTTCATATTATATATATATATATATATTTTTTCCACACAAAAGAGGGCTAAGCCCAAGCACAAAAATTAAAACTCTGGGGATGCCGCAGGAGTTCAAGTGGCCTGAAGTCAAAAAAAGAAGAGCAAAGAGCAAAATTTTGCTGTTGGATCAGACGTAAAGGAAAGCCCAAATATATGTAAGTCGTGGGTCGAAAATTTAGGCCCAACTTCAACGTTAGTTTTAAATGCTCCGAATATACCAAACAGGGTTAGGTGGACAATAAACGTGGATTGAGATGATAGTATCTCTATTAAAAAGATATAGGTTTAAATCTCAAAAAACGTACTCGTTGAAAGAGATAAAAACTCTTTGCGCTTTAAGTCTTGAGGAGAAATCCTTGATAAAATGAAAAAAAATTATGTGGGAATTTGTCATGAAGCTCAAAGAATTTTCTAACAATATTAATATTCCTCTGGTCTTAAATATAAGACCTTCATACAAATGTGTATAAGGATCTTATATTTAAGATTGGAGGAGTATCTTTAAAATATTTTCTCGCTTCCTCATGTTAATACGGTTAAGTCGTTAATGAAAAGTAGTTACTTAGCAAATTTAAGTGATGACTCTATATTTAAATACTACCTCCGGTCCTAATTATAAGAGCTAGCTAACTAGTTTGAGAAGATTAAGAAAATAAGTTAAGTTAGCTATTTGCCATAAATAAATATTGTCTTACCTAAAATATCCTTACTAATTAAGTGTATTGGCTAGAACTACCATTATTAGAATGTTTACCTTAGAAAAAAAATGTATAAATATAGGAGACAAAGTGGATTGGAATTTTATATTTATGACCAAAATAAAAATCAAACAAAGTCTTATATTAAAAACCGGAAGTAGTACTAATAAACGGTGCTTAAAATTGAACCATCTTGAAGAGTCATAAGTTAAATCCGTTGAATAAGACTAACATTGTTATTTGTTAACATAAAGAGACTGAAAATCTACTTTAATTTATAAATTTATGGGATTAAATTGAAGAGTGATATAAACTTAGAAGGCTAATGTTATATTTTAGCCTAAAATTTTATCTCTGCACTTTTCTCAATAATAGATTTTTTTTTAACAAAAATCAGTTTTAAGATAATCTTTATTTTAAGTTATATTGAGTATCACTTACAATAAAAGTGTTTAAAATATATTTTAAAAAAACTAAATTGTATCGAAGCCATTATCTAGAGCATTCCATTCTATTTTTTTACCCCCGAATTAGCATGGAATGTCTACGCAGAATAATTACCCATATGGGAAAGAATCTCTAGGCACCAAGAAATGAATCCCAACCCCACATTACTTCGTACGTAGCTACCGCTTAACACTAAATCTAGAAGGCCGCGATAGGCGAAGATATATTCTAAATATAAGAGTTAGTTAACTAATTTGAATATGTTAAGAAAATAAGTTAAGTTAGTTATTTGTAATAAATAGGTTTTGTTTTTTCTAAAATATCCTTACTAATCAAATTTATTGGTTAGGACTACTATTATTAGAAAGACTATCTTGAAAAAAATAGATAAATATGAGAGACAAAATGGATTGGGGTTTTATATTCAAAATCAAAAGAAAAATCAAACGAAATCTTATATTAAGGACCGGAAGTAGTATTATAAAGAACTAAACATATTAAGAAATATAATTATAATATTTTAAAAAAATATCATATTTATTATAATTAATTAACATCTTTAATTAACTCAAATTAACTAATTAATTCTTATATTAATAACCAGGGTGTATACGTATATGTTCTGCATCTATCTCCTGTTTATACCTGAGATTCCACAGAGACGTCAGAAGCTTCAGACGGATCAAAACGGCCACTTGCAACAAGAACTTTGTGTGAGAGAACTCAATCTGCAGAACTGTGTCAGTCATTCAACTTGTTTCTCTCTCTGTTTCTTTCTTCCTTACAGGTCAACTTCAACACTACTGATTCTAATCACTCACACACACATATGGTCCCCCCTATACACACACACACTCTCATATACTCCTCCGGTTCTAATTATAAGACCCAATTGACTTATTTGAGGAGATTAAAGAAGTAAGTTAAATTGGTTATTTATAATAAATAAGTGTTGTTATTCCTAAAATATTCTTGCTAATTAAGTATATGGGCTAAAACTATCATTATTAGAAGGATTATCTTGGAAAAAAATGCATAAATATAAAAGAGAAAATGGATTGGGTCTTATAATTAGGACCAAATAAAAAGTCAAATTGGGTCTTATCATACCGGAGGAGTATTTCGCTATTTATATGGCTCCTTGTTTTTCACATGCATCGCAGTTCCTTCGATTTTGGGACCATACGATATATGAACTCCATAAGCCCTTTTGTCTCTTAACAGTGAATCCAAGAATGGATATGAATCAATATAGGCCGCCTCTTCCTCTTTGTCTATCTACTATAACGTCCTCCCATTTGTCTCAACAAATTATTTTCCCTCTACCGTTATCCATTGCGGTCCCCTACAGTAAGTGAAACCGAAGTCTAATGAACTTGCTAAGATAATAACCTGGAATCCAACAAATCGGGGGGGGGGGTTAGAAAGGCCCTTTTAAAAAAAATGTTACTCCTCCGGTCCTTATTATAAGACCCAATTTGACTTTTATTTGGTCCTAATTATAAGACCCAATCCATTTCTCTCTTATATTTATACATTTTTTCCAAGATAATCCTTCTAATAATGATAGTTTTAACCAATATACTTAATTAGAAAGAATATTTTAGGAATAACAACACTTATTTATTATAAATAACCAACTTAACTTACTTCCTTAATCTCCTCAAATAAGTCAATTGGGTCTTATAATTAGGATCGGAGGAGTAATATCTTTGCTTCTCGTATGTTACACGTCTCAGTGAAGAATATCTAGGCAGCAAGAAATGAATCACAGCCCCATGTTGCTTGGTTCTTCAGTGCTCAATGCCAAATAGAAGGTGGCGATAGGTGAAGATACTGTGAAGAACTAAACATGAGACTTCCCGAAAATCACACCTTTTCTTTTAATTTTATGGTTCTGCTCATCATACTGATATCGTCATTAATCCTTGCGTTCGTGAGTGGTTTCTTCCCAAGTTTGTCTTTAGCCATTGTTCCCACGATTTTCTCAGCATCCTCTGATTCATACCAGGAAAAACCTCCGTACTCTCCGCCTCCTGTTAATACGTCAGATTCCACTGAAATATCAGAAGCTCAAGTTTTATCTGGTCCGGTACAAATCCAAACACCTACTTCCAAGAACTTTTCAGAAGCTCAAGTGGCTTCATCTGTTGGTCCGGTACAAAATCAAACGCCTACTTCCAAGAACTTTTCAGAAGCTCAAGTAGTTTCATCTGTTGGTCCGATACAAAATCAAACGGCCACTTCCAAGAACCTTGTGAGAACTCCATTATCAGAACTGTTTCTCTTAAGTATTCAACTTCCTTTTCTTTTTTTCCCTTCCTTTGTACTTCCTTTTTCTTCTTTTCTTGGTAGGGTATACTTTCTCATCCTTCTTTTTAACTGGTGGGCCTTTAGGGAGGCGAAAAGGTCGACGCAGAATTGAACTATAATGGCACAGAAAAAGTGAGCAATAGTACTAATCAGAAGGACAAGAAGCTAAAAATGATTGAAGCAAGATTGGCCCAAGTGAGATCTTCCATTAAAGAAGCTAGCAAAGTCCGAAACTTGACATCTACCCACCATGACCCAGAGTATGTTCCTCGAGGCCCAGTGTACAGAAACCCCAATGCTTTTCACAGGTACAAATTCTTCTTCACATGAAAGTCTCTTGGACATAATACTGTAACTACTGATTAATTCTGATATATAAAATCTGCAAAGGAGTTACCTGGAGATGGAAAAGGTGTTCAAGATATTTGTGTACGAGGAAGGGGAGCCTCCGATCTTTCATGATGCACCATGCAAAAACATATACTCGAGCGAAGGAAGATTCATACACGAAATCGAAAAGAGGAGGCATTATCGTACTGATGATCCAGATGAAGCTTTTGTGTATTTCTTACCTTTCAGTGTGGCTATGCTGGTGGGATATATTTATACACCAACCCGTGTTGTCAGATCCATTGGCCCTCCAGTGGTGGACTACTTGCAGACTGTATCTGAGAAATACCCCTTCTGGAATCGAAGCCTGGGACTTGACCATTTCATGCTCTCCTGCCATGATTGGGTAAAAAATAAAAAGAATTTCCTCTCTCTTATCTTGAAGCTAGAAACAGAGCATACTCGGATATGAATATGAAGAGAAGCTTAGGAGTCTTCAAAACTTGATATTTTTATACCAAAGCTTCTCCATAAGTCATGCCTCCTCTACTCCAAAACGGGGAGTTAGATAACTAATTCACCCAAGTTAAGAAAATTCAATAGTTATTTGTAAAAATTGCATGTTAATTTTTATAAAACACATCTACTTTTAGTCATTTGCTTTGAAAGTGACCCTGTTTATATATGTAGTTAATCATTCACCTAAATTGCTTTTCAAAGTTAGAATTTTTAATGTCTTTGGGAATATTTCACAGGGGCCTCTTGCATCTTCCTTCGTACCTCAATTATACCACAATTCCATAAGGGTTCTGTGCAATGCAAATACATCAGAAGGATTCAAACCTGCAAAGGATGCTACTCTGCCTGAAATTAATCTTGTAACAGGGGAAATCGCGGGATTAGGAGGCTATTCTCCATCTCGTAGGAACATCCTCGCTTTCTTCGCAGGTGGCCATCATGGCTACATAAGGTACCTACTTTTCCAGCAATGGAAAGACAAAGACCAAGATGTGCAGGTCTATGATGAGTTTCCCAGGGGTGCATCTTACTATAATATGCTCAGAAGAAGCAGATTCTGTCTGTGTCCAAGTGGGTACGAAGTAGCAAGCCCCAGAATAGTGGAAGCCATATTTGCAGAATGCGTGCCTGTTCTGATTTCAGACAGCTATGTGCCACCCTTTAGTGATGTTCTGAATTGGAAGTCATTTTCAGTGCAGATAGATGTGAAGGACATAGCCAACATAAAAAAGATACTAATGGAGATTCCTCAGAGACAGTATCTGAGAATGCAGAGGAGAGTAAAAATTGTGCAGAGACATTTTGTTCCCAATGACCCTCCAAAGAGATTCGATGTTTTTCATATGATCACTCATTCGATATGGCTCAGAAGGTTAAATGTCCAAGTTCAACATCAGTAAATATCATATTCACAGATGCATTTTACACCATGTATCCGACAGAATCTAGATTTCGTTTCATGTATATAAGAACTGCAATGTCGGGCTCTGATTCCATGCACGATTCCAGACTATTTGTTTGTAGGATATGAATAATGGTGAGCGGTTAGACCATTTGTAGACAGACAGCCACTGTAGCAAATCTTTGTTCGTCCAATGTCCAGTGCACACCCAACACATCATAGTAAAAAACATTGTTTGTCCTGTTGTTGTAGAAATGAGAAATTCTCTTGTACCACCTCCGGTCTCCTAATTATAAGAACTCTTTAACTAATTTGAAGAGATTAAGAAAAGAAGTTAAGTTAGTTATTTATAACAAACAGGTGTTGTTTTTTATAAAATATCCTTATGAATTGTATTCTTTTTATCGGAAAAAAATAAAAATAAAAATCTTTTGTAAGTACAGTATCTACTTAGCCAGTGAGAAATGATTGTTCATTGGATATGACCTATTTATTACCCGTCCCTGTATCAAATTATCAACAGCTCACTAGTTTGGGGTACGTAATTTAGTTGGATGATCAATATTAAGATATTTGGATAATGCTTAATCTTTATGTATTTCATTCAATATATATTTATAATTTTAACTATGATTTTCAGTTTAACCAAATCTTTTTTTTTATATTATTTAAGGTTTGATCAGCTTTGGAAAAAGTATAAATATTAAAAAAAAAAAAAAGAAGTTGCTTTCATAAATAACTTCTATAAATATGTATGAATGTGCGATTTGAAAAATTTTAAAATTAGATCACAAAAAACGCAGTAAGAAAATTTCAACCGATACTAAGTAGGGAGAACCAAATTTGCAAATTAATTACCCCTTCTTGTTATAAACTTCAATTAACTATTCTACGTAAATTTAAAAAATTTATTTAAAATCAATTATTTTTTTATGAAGTATCAAATTATCCTTAATAAAAGTGACTAATTACTAGTTGAAGTATGGGTATTTATTAAAAAGATATTTAACATTCATCATCAACTATATTTTTAAAAACTTGTAATACTCAATTCATTTGAAAATAAGTCGGGTATGATATTATTGGATCTAAATATATTTAATTAATGACATTTGAATAACTTATTAATTGAAATTTGAATATATTGAATTAAATAAGAAATATTATAAATAAATAAAATTTCAATTAGAGGCTCAAATAAAGAAATTAATAATTAATTTTATATTTGAATAAGTATATTCTTGAAAACTTATAATATCCGATTTGTTAGAAAACAGGTTGGGTATGATATTATTTGTTCTGAATATATTCAATTAATGACATTTGAATAACATATTAATTGAAAAACTATATTCTTAAAATCTTATAATACCCGATTTATTTGAAAATGAGTTGGGTATGACATTATTGAATTCGAATATATTCAATTAATGAGATTTGAATAGCATATTAATTGAAATTTGAATATATTGAATTAAATGAAAAATCTTTTAAATAAATAAAATTTCAGTTAGAGGCTTAAATGAAGAAATTAATAATCATTTGATATTTGAATAACTATATTCTTAAAAACCGGTAATACTCGATTGGTTTGAAATGGGCCAAGTATGACATTATTAGATCCAAATATATTCAATTAATGAGATTTGAATAACATATTAATTGAAATTTTAATATATTGAATTAAATAGAAAACATTATAAATAGATAAAATTTCAATTGGAAGCCAAAGGAAGAAATTAATAAATCATTTAAAATTTGAATAATATCTTAATTAGAATTTGAATATAATGTATTAAATATGGAACATTATAATTAAATAGTATGTCAATTGGAGCCTTAAATTGAGAAATAAATAATAATTTTAAATTTTCATCTATTCCTCCTAAATTCTAAATTTTTAATTCAAGTTCTATTTGAATGAATAAAATTAAAAAATACACTCCTATAAAAAGTAGATCTTAAGTTACAATAAATAATGCAATTTATTATAATTTTAAATTTAATCAAATATGCTAATCTGTGCATTGTATGGGAAAGAAATTTCTAATTTACCTCTAAAACAACACAAATTTATATGTCGAATAATGAATATTTACCACTGATGATTTTTAAAAAAATTATGAATTTAATCTGTAGGTATAATACTCCAAATTTATTCTCTGTTTTTTTTTTGCCGGATCCAAATTTATTAATCAGCACATATGCATTCACGCAGCAATGACTCCCAGTCATACTACGTGATTATGTCCAAACTTATAAGTATACCAAAACTTATCATTTTATAACCACTTTTCAAAAATACTATCAGTTTCAGACTTTCAGTTCTTTAAAATTAAATGAAATACTGAGCTTTTGAAACCTTTTTTTTTTTTTGGGCCAACGGCTCTTGAAACATTTTACCCCGTATCAACTCAGAGTTCGCTGCATTATTTTTCATGCAACAAAAATTGGACTACTATCTTCAATCCTTAATATAAGACCCCGTTTGACTTTTAGTTTGGTCCTAATTATAAGACCCCAATCCATTTTGTCTCTCATATTTATGCATTTTTTTCCAAGATAATCATTCTAATAATGATAGTTTTAGCCAACACACTTAATTAGCAAGGATATTTTAGGAATGACAACACTTATTTGTTACAAATAACTAACTTAACTTACTTCCTTAATCTCCTCAAATTAGTCAACTGGATCTTATAATTAGGACCGGAGGTAGTATTATTTTTCATGCAACAAAATTATATTTAAACAGAACATCCTTAAAAATCACATTCTTTTGACTAAACTAAAAAAATCACATTCTTTTTTTTTAACCAGGAAAAAAATCACATTCATTACATGGGTAAGTTCTAGTTATCATACATTAAATAAACAACTTCGATATAATTAAATAAAATTGTTAAAACCGTTATGGGGTACCATTGCTTTGCTTCTCTCGCATTCCAAGTCTCAGTATCTAAGAATAACTGTTTATGTAGGAAGGAATCTCTACGCATCAAGAAATGAATCCCAGCCCCGTATTACTCTGTAGCTCACTGTTCAGTGGATGGTGGCGACAGGTGAAGATACTGTGAAAAACTAAACATGAGAGTTTCTGAAAACCATACTCTCTCGTTTGATTCTGTGGTTCTGTTCATCATACTGACATCTTCATTATTTCTTGCTTTCTTGAGTGGTTTCTTCCCAAGTGTCTCGTTAGCCATTGTTCCCAGGAGGATTTTCTCTGCATCCTCTAATTTAAACGAAGAAAGAACTCCATATTCTTCATCTCCTGTTAATACTTCAGATTCCATTGAAATATCAGAAGCTCAGGTTTCATCTGGTTCGGCGCAAATCAAAACGGCTACTTCCAAGAACATTGTGAGAACTTCATCAGACCTGTTTCAGTATTCAACTTCTTTTTCTCTTTCTTTCTTGCTTTCTGTGTAGGGTGCTTTTTCATCCTTTCTTTTTGTTGGCGGGTCTTTAGGGAGGTGAAAAGCTTGGCGAAGAATTGAACCGTAAAGGCACAGAAGAAGTGAGCATTACAAATCAGAAGGACAAGAAGTTGAAAAAGATTCAAGCAAGATTGGCCCGAGTCAGATCTTCCATTAGAGAAGCTAGCAAAGTTCGAAACTTGACATCAACCCACCAGGACCCAGACTATGTTCCTCAAGGCCCAGTTTACAGAAACCCCAATGCTTTTCACAGGTATAAACTCTTCGTCACATCAAAGCCTTGAGCGTAATACCATAAGTACTGATTAATAATGATAAATTTTGCACAGGAGTTACCTGGAGATGGAGAAGATGTTCAAGATATTTGTGTACGAGGAAGGGGAGCCGCCATTGTTCCACGATGGTCCATGCAAGAGCATATACTCGACAGAAGGAAGATTCATACACGAAATCGAAAAGGGGAACTATTATCGTACTGATGATCCAGATGAAGCTTTTGCGTATTTCTTGCCCTTCAGTGTGGTTATGATGGTGGCACATCTTTTTACACCCTCCGGTGATACCAATTCCATTGGTCTTTCTGTGATAGACTACGTACAGACTATATCCGATAAATACCCCTTCTGGAATCGAAGCATGGGACTTGACCATTTCATGCTCTCCTGCCACGATTGGGTAAGAAACTCCTCTCTCTCTCTCTCTCTCTCACACACACACACACACACTCTGGCACTAGAAACAGGGCATCGTATTATATGAAACGAAGTTTAAAGTTTTCAAAATTCCAGGCTTTTACGATACGCCTTCTTCGATAACTCGTGTACCTCCACGTTTAAATGGTGTTTGTTTATCCTATTTTTCAAAGTCGGAATTTTTATTTAGAAATATGGTTCTCCACCACGTAAGCTTCCAAGTGTGTATCGGGTTGAATTATAAGGAAATCTCTGGAATTTTTTCACAGGGGCCTAGTACATCTTCTTACGTACCTCAATTATTCTACAATTCCATAAGGGTTCTGTGTAACGCAAATACATCAGAAGGATTCAAGCCTACCAAGGATGTTTCACTCCCTGAAATCAATCTTGAAACAGGGGAAATCACGGGGTTATTAGGAGGGTACTCTCCATCTCGTAGGAACATCCTCGCTTTCTTCGCAGGTCGTCTTCATGGCCATATAAGGTACCTACTTCTTCAGCAATGGAAAGACAGAGACCAAGATGTACAGGTCTACGATGAACTTCCCAAGGGTGTATCTTACTATAATATGCTCAGAAGCAGCAGATTCTGCCTGTGTCCAAGTGGATATGAAGTAGCAAGCCCCAGAATAGTGGAAGCCATATTTGCAGAATGTGTGCCTGTTCTCATTTCAGATAGCTATGTCCCACCCTTCAGTGATGTTTTGAATTGGAGGTCATTTTCAGTGCAGGTAGATGTAAAGGATATATCCAACATAAAAGAGATACTGATGGGTATATCTCAAAGACAGTACCTGAGAATGCAGAGAAGAGTAAAACTTGTGCAGAGACATTTTGTGCCTAATGACCCTCCAAAGAGATTTGATGTTTTTCATATGACCATGCATTCTGTATGGCTCAGGAGGTTGAATGTCCAAATTCAACAGCAATGACACCACATTGACAGATGCATTTTGCACCATGTAGTTCACAGAATGTAGATTTTGTTTCATATAGGAACTGTGTGATGACCCCAATAATTAAAACATTGTTTATCTTTTGGTGTAGAAATGAAGAATTCTTTTGTGGGTATAAAATATACCAGCCAATGAGGAAAGGATGTTCGTGGGATGTGACCTATTACACGTCTTTGTATCAATATCTTACTAGTTTGGTGTATGTACATTGCTCAACTTAGGATCTCTATAAAAATGGTCATTTTTTTCTCTCTTGTACGTTACTGAACAAATTCTGGTAGTGAGAGTTTTTATTGTAAGATTTTTTTTTCCTGTATAAACATGGTCAATTTTTTTCTCTTGTAAGTTCTTATAGCACATGATATTTCCAACCAATGATATATTGTAATTATGAATCTGGTCTAGAGCCAGCCAACGAAGAAAGGAGCAAATTGAGGTGCCAAGTGATAAGAAGGATAGAGTTATCTAGGATGTAATTAGACAACTACTGTTCGCATGCATGTTCTCGATGATACAGGTAGGACATCGTATGAACAAGACCATAAAGTTAGAACGCCTTGCAGTTGATACCAGTTCTTAATTATAATACACATAATAATAGGTGACTTCTAATTTTTCTAAAAAAAATCAGCAAGAGTTATACTGCTTAACTGACTTGAAATTCTCCACTGGCATGCGCCTCCTTGACCCTTTTGTCATATTCATCTTCTCCATCCTCCTCTTCCTCCACCTCAGCTTCCTCTTCTTCATCTTCACCTTCCCAGCCAAATCCTTTGACAGGTCTAGATACTGGAGGTGGGTTTCTAGCTTCTCCCACAATTTTCATTATCTCCTCCACACTTTGAACGGAGAAGCTTGGGTTGTCTCTCTGATAATAGATAGCTTGAGCGGATTCAGTGAGCTCCCTTGGAAGATTCTTTAAAAACCACGGGTGGCTCTTGATTTCCTTGAGAGTTATTCTCTGCAAGAAATAAAGAATATGGCCTGACAATTAGCTCCATAGAAACAAGATATTGATAAATGATCCCAAACGTAGACCATTCAAATGTTCTGTAGCACCTTATTCTATAAAAAAAAACATTTTAGTAATAGTTCATAAAACAAGGCATGATATTGGCCGCAACCTGGAGATGTAGAGATGTGACAACTATATGACTACATTGACCGTTAAGGAGAAAATCAAATAAAAATGATATTCAGCCAATTCCTTGAATGTTAAACATATGGTTAGTGTTCACCCCTCTGTGTGTATGTATGTATGTATATGTATGTGTATGTATGTCGCCAGTAGCCAGCAAATGTATTCTTGAGAACCTACATGGAACCTGAATTTCAGAAGATACCAACAACCTGCCATGAATATTTCATTATTCAATGTTGGCTGTTGTCTCCACTTAGTTCTCAATCTGATGCAACTTTTGGTTTGTCTCCATATGTGGTTGCTAGTTGTAGTTTTGTCGTCCTTTAGTTTGTGTATTTATAGTTTTTTTGTCCTTTAGTTTGTGTATTTATGTTTGGCAACCTTGGCTACCAATACAGACTACAGACTGCGATAAAGCTAAACCAGAGAAGTGGATACGACATTTTATACATTGATACGGCAAGGGAAAACGGAAAGTGATGAGGAGGGCCAAAATCCAATATTGGACAGTAGAACAAAAGAGGGAAAAAGTAAACGTTCAAGTACACGATTCAGTCTATGGAAGTGGACTAGATGGTGAAGACAAGTTTAAGTTTCTTTGAAAAAAAGAAAACGGACCCTGAATGTAGGGTTCAGCTTGGGCTTCTACCCTTTTCTCATTAATATAAATATTCAACAACAGTGAGCCTTGTTTTACAACCACTTTTTCTGTTATTTTCCATTCATTGTGATGAAGGTCCATAATTGACAAGAAAACACAAGAGTTAACTGATGCATACTGGTAGAACATGAGTCTATTTGTAATATAGCCTGACAGTTTAACACAACTGCTATCACAGCAAAAATTAAGTCACCTCAAAAGTCAAAACTTACCTTCAATGGATTTGCAACAAATATACGAGAAAGGAGGCGTCTGCAATCTTGAGATATGTGGACATAATCAGGGATTTTGTATTGGACAGCCATTATGCGCTGCAGAATAGGACAGAAAAAGGGGAAATGAATGATGTGAAAAATTACGTTTGAAATGTACAAAAATCAGCATCAATAAGGCTAACGTAACATACCTGAATTGTTTTCCTAAAATTCCTGGGGTCTGCATGGTCCTCAAAGGGATATGATCCAACCAGCATGACATAGAGAGTCACCCCACATGACCATACATCAGCCAACTAAACAATGGCAACAGCAGAAAAACACAATCATACTTACAGCTGAACGAGAGGATTATAACATAACAACTTGGGGGGGGGGGGGGACACATCGTTTATATATCAGATTGGATGCGTCCTGCACCTAAGATGATCAAAATCACTTCTTTGAGTTGTCTTATAAGAGAAACAATGTAGAAAAACTAGAGATGATTGATTAATGAAGCGTATGCCAACACAATGATAAAGGACCACATATATCTATATTTTACCTTGCCATCATACTCCCGCCTGGAGAGGACTTCAGGGGCTATATAAGCGGGAGTTCCAACAGTTGATTTGGGTCGCGAATGCAGCAAAGATGACTACAGCACAAATAATAAGCAGTCCAACGAAAGTATGAGTCTATAACCCAGGCCCAGTTATTATTCGAACCAATAAAATGTGATGATATATTGATTGCAAAACCTTGGAATAACCGAAGTCACAAATCTTCAAGCGAGGGGCAGGGCTTCCATCCAGAAGAGTATTTTCCAGCTTCAAATCTCTGTGGCATATTTGCTAAAATGAAGGTGAAAGCACAAGTTATCACAGGGCACTTTGAGAAAATGAAGGTGTAGTATTCTCAGAAAAGTATGATCATACCATGGCATGACAGAAATTGACACCAGAGATCAGCTGCTGAAAGAAATATCTAGCCTGAAGAAAAAAACGAAAAAGAAAACGAGAGATTACAACAATAGTATAGTAATATTAATGACTTTGGAAGGAAAAGAGTATGTGAAATTATTCACCTCATCCTCGCTGAATCTGCCAGCAGTACAGATCCTCTCAAAGAGCTCCCCTCCAGCTGCATACTCCATCACTATGGCCAAATGTGTGGGGGTCAAAACTACCTGAAAAATCAAAACAAATTGAAATTAGAGTAAACGAATCATACCCAGCGATGATTGAACTAAAAAGTAAATAATAAATTACTTACCTCCTTGAAGCGGATTATATTGGGATGTCGAAGGGACCTGTGGTTCATAATTTCCCTTGCCACATTCTCGTCAATCTGAGATTGAAATAGAAAATTCTTAGAATCACAGAAGTCAAAAGGGAACACTTAGTCAATTAACATTAGCAACTAAAACTAAACAAGGAAAGAAGCTAGAATCCTTTCTTCTAATCTGATCGGCGGCGTTGAATTACGAAGGAAACGCAAAAGGTAATTTTCTGTAAATCCAAAATTTCCAGCATTTCTAAAGCACTTAGGATAGTTCTCAAACGAAAATCCTCCAATAAAAAGACGCAAAGAAAACAAACCTTGAGGCCTCGCTCGATGTATTTCATGGCGACAAGCTCCTTGGTCTCCTTGTGCCTCATGAGCCTGGCAACCCCAAAGTTGCCAGCCCCCAAATCCTTGACAGTCTCGTACTTGTCCATACCCACGAGTATAGCAGTGATTGAAATGGCGTGCGAGTCAGTATCACAATCAAAGCATCATTTTAGAAATCGAAATGGAAATCGAAGTAGGAAGGTGACTATCTGGAGAGTGGGAGTGAAGTGAAATGGCGCTTTATAAGGAAGAGCACGTGGGAGAGTGAGAGAGGAAAACGTTAGAAAAATGGGGAAAGAGTATGGGAATCCATGACCATAAGGACCAGCTTGAATCCGGTGAGGCTTTGTTTATCAGTTAGCTTGCTTTTGCAGTTATTTTTACATTTATAAATTATAAATTCTATTTAATGGTTCTGATATTTGTGAAGCGGATATAAAAAAACGCGGTTTCTCACTGGCTTTTGTCTCCAGCTTGGTGAACAGCATCGTTTTTACTGCCATTTCTTTCACAGCAACGAACTTCATCTTTCACTCTCACTTTCACAACCGCCAAAATATGGACCCAAGAAACAGAACCACAGTAAATTGGAAACATGAGACCATCTGAGGATGAATCAGTACATATTAGATTTCTGAAAGGGCCACCCAAAAATGACATTAGGTGATGAGTCATTGGATTTTAGTTTACTGACACGGTTGACTGATTTGGGTAAACTAATATGAGAAAGGCGTTGACGAGAGAGCAACGGTTAGGGGTGGCAGACATGAAGATGAAGGAGAGGCACCGACGGAGCAATTTGATTGGCCATTTTTGTTGTGTGAGGTCGTCTGTGAGGGACGGTCAGGTGAGAGGATGGAATTAGTGGCTCATCATTTAATGTGTTTTCACTGTTTTTAGATTCTCGTTCATCCCCCCACTCTGAAACATCAGACGTTGTCCTCTTCCCATGTGACTCTTCATGTGCCTCTCACCTCTTTTCTTCCTCCTTCCTTCACTTCACTCCCTCTCAAATCAAAGGATGAAAAAGTCAGAGGAAAACGATACTTCTGATTAATGCAGGAAAACACTAAAAAATTGACTAATTTCATAATGATTAAATAATACTCGAATTAAAAAAAGAATTTTTCAATCGTTGGAGTTGAATTTGTGAACTTTTTTATTAGACTTGAGTATGACCTAAGGAATCACAGGAATTTGGAATTTGAGGAGGAAAAAAATCTGAAGCCTAAATCATGATTTGCAATTAAAAACTATCCCATAAATATCCACAATATTTAAAACTTTTCTGACCTAACCTTCGTACTAAAATTCAGGCTCCATGGTCTGTTCTATTTAAAGGTTTAAACTTTTTAATATGTTTAAGACTCATTGTTTGGCTTTAAGTAGGGCATGACTCGCCGTACTACTATAGTATAGGGTTGTTCACGGGACGGATCGGGACCGAAACAGGCACGTCCCGGTTCCGTCCTGATGAATAGTAACGGAACAGATTTTCTGTCCCGTGTCCCGGTCCGTTCCGGGGTTGTCCTGATCCCGGTCGGGACAGGACCGGGACGTCTCGAATTAATTTTTTTTTAATTTTTTTTAAAAATCTGATTTTTTTTTTAATTATAATTTTTGGGCTTAAACCTTATAAAAACATCTTTTTATTTTTTTTTGTTTGTTTGGGCACTCTTAAACAAAAGCTCAAAATATTACATATAATAGTCATTAAAAACTTTAAACAAAAGCTTTTAACACAATAAAAACTTGCTAAAAATTCTAATCATCAATGATCCCAAATCATTAACAATATAAAACTCTAAATAAATATTTCCATAGTTACATACAATAGTCTCAAATCTTAAAAAAATATGAAAAAAATGTATATATATAAATAGAATAAAAAATTAAAAAAATTAAAAAAAAAAAAAAAAAAAAGGGAACGGGACGGGACGACCCCGTCCCGTGTCCCGGTCCCCTTTCTTGTCCCGTCCCGGTTTGTCCCGTCCCAAAATATTTCGGGATGGATCTGTCCTGTCCCAATAAGACCGGGACCGGAACGAGCCGACCGGGACGGCCGGCCTTGAACACCCCTACATAGTATAGTATGTCAACTTTTTTGAAGTTTAGTGCATAGATAGCTGCAGTGATATATCAATTAATTAATCATATAATAAATAATATCATTTGCAATGTGAACACATTTTAAAAAATCATAGCCACATTAAAAATGTTCCTTCCCCGTCTTATTTCCTCATAAATCGTCGGCTTTTAAATTTTACCAAAATATCTAATTATCCCAATCATGACAATTTTGCCATTAAACTATTTTTTTTTATAAGTCAAAGTATTCTCAAGTTATTTTGGACTTGAAACTAATTTATATGCAGTCAAAAGCATTAGGTTAAAACCCTACCAATAAGTACACTTTTTAGTATTTGAACTTGTGTTTTCTCCTTATGGAATGAAACTGTTTACCATCTTAACCAACAACATATTGGTTGGTTGCTCATTGAACTATTAACAGTAGATATGTTGTAGTTACTACCAATGAATGTTAGGTCTAGTAAAAGGAGTTAATCTCTTATAACATGACAAATCAAATTTGAATCCCTATTAGGAGATGTGTTTAAATTTAGTGCTCGACAATATTTCGAATAAGATGGTCTGTGATAGGAGGATATTTCAAATAGAATTAAAGAAAGGTGATTAAATCATTAAATTTGATTTAAAAATAAAAAAATTATAATTTACTCGTATTTAAAATCATGATTTACATCTAAAAAAATTTTAAAAAAAATAAAATTGCATTGAAATTTAAAAAAGAGCAATCTTAAAAAGTTAACATCAATTATCAAATTTTAAAAAAGAGCCTCCTAACATAGACAGGATAAAATAACCATATAGTTCTATTGGGCTTGAGTGTTGTGGAATCCACTTATGGTGGATACAAAAAATCATGTTCCTTGCACATTATGTACGTCCTTGTCATTTAAAAAATGATTAGTTTAAAACGCACCATGACAAAGAAAGAGAGGCCCCACGAAACCCCATTCTGTATGGTTCATTTCCATCACTATTTTTTTTTTTTTTTTGGGAGATGAAATTCATTTTCGTCACATTTATTCCAGACAGCAACGTAACATTGAATATTCCCTTCATACTCCGCCAATCACGCTATCGTTCTACTACTTGGGCCTCATGGGCCTAACTGGGCTTAAAACAATGACAGTGGGACCAACATACATAGACTTCTGTGCGAGACTCTCTTGGAGCAATTGGTTTCTAGAGTCAGGCCAAGAAATGAAATATTACTTCCGGTGTCTTAATATAAGATTTTTGTTTATTTATTTGTATCATAAATATAATACCTCGATTCACTTTATCTCTTATATTTATGCATTTTTTCAGGTAGTCCTTCTAATAATAGTAGTTCTAACCAATATACTTAATTAGTAAGGATATTTTAAGAAGAAAGACAATACCTATTTTTACAAAATAATTAACTTAAATTCTTTTCTTAATCTCTTCAAATTGTCAACTGGCTCTTATAATTAGGATCGGAGGTAGTATTAGTTGGGTGTTTGGATGAAACCAAACCATGATTTGAAGAATAGCTTTGGAGAATAGCTTTTGTGAAGAACAGATTTTGAGAAAAAGTAATTCTGATAAAGTGAAAGTGTTTGGATAGTTGTTATCAGAAACAGTTTTTATATGTGTAATTACTAAAAAAAACATAAGTTAATATGATAATTACATAAAAAATAGATTTTATAATATATTTTAATTTGAAGAAATAAAATTATTAATAATATATTTTTTACCAATATAATTAATAATATATAGATAATGTAATTAATATAAATAATTAATATGTGTATAATATATTTATAAAATATAAGATTAAATATGTTTATAAAAAAATAATTGAGAGGTGTTAAAGTCATATTACTATTTGGATCTACTCTGACAGGCACAATCATACTCTTCAATTTGAGTCCGAAGCAGAATGAATTAATTCTTTTGAAATCATGGTTTTGAACTCCAAACCATGGGTTTGTAATCATTTTTTTCTCAAACCCAAACCATGGTTTGAGTTCCAAAACTATGGTTTTGAAAGTTGCCCAAACATGCCCTTAGTCAGCCATCTACTAACAATACTTGAATTTAATTAAAAAAGCAAAAAAATCTATCACAACATCACATTCTTAAAAAAAAAAGTGTCAACATTTGAAGCACTCAAAAGTGCCGTGACTTGGAATTGCTTCTACTAACGGTACACATGTAGTTAAGAGATTTAACTATTATTTTAAGGACGAAGGCAGTATAATGCAAAAAACACATAATAAAAGGGGGAAAATGGGGTGAAAAAGTCGCCATTAGAATATTTTATTGGCGAGGAGAGCCTGGTAAATTTTTATGCACAAAAAGTATGATGATAATAAATTTTATCTGACAAAGGTGTTTCCATACTTTGATTAAGCCGCCTATTAATAAAATTTTAATTTATATGATGAAACGCTTTTTTCCCAATTTTTTCAGAAGTATGAAAAGTTTCTGAACTAAAATAATTTCAAAATGAAAGAGATGCAAGAACTATTTTGTAGGAATTTAAT